GAGCTAATTACTTTACGCTCCTACAGAGGTCATTCTGTATCTGATCTTGTTGTTCGGATATTATACCGCTTCTTGTGATTAACCGGGAAGAAATACACCATTTCTTGATGGTCTGCGTGATCATCGTATTCATTTTGTCACTAAATTTAATTTCATAGCATCCCTTTTCATTGAACAAATTTGTTTTCTTGTAGCAGAAAACTACCATCATGCGCCTTATGAGATACAAATGTGTGTTATTGGTTCGGTTTTAAGAAAGACTATTTTACTTAAGCAGGTTGGTCTTTGTAGTGTTTGGTGGTCAGTTTAGAGAGACAACAGAGTTCAAGTGACCAGGATCAACTATGTTTTAAAGGAAAAGTTTTGAAACTAAGCGCGATATTTGTTTTATCTAAAGTGCTCTTCAGAAGCAACATTGAGCACGATTTAGGAATTCGGATCTTGTTTTTGCAATAGATATGTCACAGTATAGGTCATATTGCGACTTCCAAACTTTAGTAGTGGAGGAAGACCTCATGTGTCCCTTTGTGCATTTTCAGACACAAACGGGCACCTGTGTAGAACCACCGACGTTCCGTATAAATTCGAATCTATCGTTAAATATTTGACCAAAAAGGAGGATGTTGTCTGATTTATGCATATTGAGAAGTGTTTAATATAACTTTTTGGTTCATTTATGGTCTTATTTTCTAACATATAACCGATTCTTTATTAAAGTGAATATGTCCATAATGGAGATCTGGTAATCAATCAACATTATTTTGATTGAGTATCATATATTTCAACAAACCAGGAAAGAATAATATATGTATGCATGGATGTTGTTACTAAGAGTGATATACATATGGTCCGGTACTACATAGCTATAAATAGCAGATAATAAATTGTTCTAGAACAAAATATTATTATTCATTATTGAATTGTTCATCCTTAATCACTTAGAACTCTATCAACAATTTAAGGAAATATTTTATATGAATATTCAAATCAATATTAAGAAAAGAACTTATGGAAAATGTACACATTGTAGATAAATCCATTTTAATTTAACTCAAACCCATAAACATCCAGAAAAGCATTCATTACGTATAACACATGAAATTGCATATACTTTGAGATTTTCCAAATAGTTATACAAACAATAAATTGTATGAGTTATTGCTATAATCAGAGTTGAAATAATTCCTTGGTGATCATATATGTTTTGGTTACAAATGTGTGAAAGGGTCCATCCGCCCTTTCAGGTGCTGACAGTACGGACCCCGTTGGTTATAAACATTATATATGCACCAAATATCCTAGTTGTCGGCCTTACAGTTATTGACAAGGTTTTACAGATAAGAAACTATGTAAAATCAAGGTCCACACGGGGGCCGAGCTTTACATGTGATTTACAGAATCTAATATGCTAAGACATAGTACACTAATTATATAACTTCTTCAAGTTTGACAAGCAGTGGTAAAACAAATCCGCAAGCATAAAAGCAAATTTTTTGCCTCAAAAACGAATAAAATGTTCCTTCTTTAGAATGACAAAAATGGGTTATATAACGTTTAAATACTGAAGAAAGTAGCGCTGAATGTGAAGTAACTTTTAAAATTTTAACTTTAAAATTTTCAAAAAGTAAACGAAGTAGTATTTTGGACTTCCGTACAAAATACTTAATCACTGTACTTACCGTAATAAAGCAACAGAAGCAGAAACGTTTTTAGAAACTTTAACAAGACATCATTAATAAAAATGTTTTGAGAAATAAAAATAAAACGCATTTCTTGTGTATAAAGGGCCTTTCGAGTTAATTAGTTCATGAGTGTAGCTGATAAACTTAACATATAGCTTCTGAAGCTCAAGCTTAAGAAACTTTCAGAGTGAAAGGTAGTGCAATATACAAGTTGTAATCTGTTAGCTCCTCCTTTTTAAGAAACATCTTACTTATGACCAACACGTTGCCAGACGGTATATATATGGATTAAAGATAAAATAAAATGCTTCGTTCTCAGTTAAATGTGTTTCAGAACAAACAAAAAAAACAACCCTCAGAAATGTTTTTTTTTAATGGAAAAGTAGTTTATTTTGACGAAGGAGCATTCACATCCTTCTTTAAATCAGTCAGGTTTTTGTGATGAAATGAATTTTCCATTATGTTTATTATGAAAACATAGTGAAAGTAGCGAAATCGGCAAAATTGAAATAAGCAAGTGAATATTTTAAATACATGTATTGTATTATGTATTGTAACAAATTGATTATTGTACTTGGCTGAAGAAAAAACGATAAAAACGATAAAAAAAAATTTTTATATCTTCCCATTATTCACATTTTTCAACAAGTTAAAATAAAGTTAAAGATGAAAATAAAGCAACATTTAAGGTATGACACTCTTTTCTTGTTATGATTTCATCTTGATATTTCATTGTTGGCAAGGATATTCAACAAGAGTTCACTTATCACTTTAAATCGTGAATATTTAATTTTGTAAAAATAAAAATATATACAATTCTGTCAAATGTCTAGCGACTGTACATGAAGTTTGTGCTGCGTATGAATAACAACAAACTAGATTTTTCAAGTGTAGTATATTTTAATTAAAGTGTAATGGATATGATATAGATAAAACAGAAAACAGTAGTGTGCGTATGTTACGAGAAGTGTTTTATTATCAATCAAAGAGCTATACATGTACATATATTATTAATATTAAAACTTTGCTAAAATATTCTTTATCATAAAAAAATCTAATTGATAATTATGATATCTGTTACAATTATCAACCAGAGAATATTAACATCTTTCATCAGATAGAAAAGAAATGAAAACGAGGTGCGTTCATTTAATTATGTCACTGATGCGCCTCCAAACTGTGTGATATTTAGAGTCACGTGAAAATTGGGAGAAGGTACAAAAACAATAAAAACTGCGTCAAGCTTTGAAGTAAGGGAACATATTAAATGCAGTACAAGACCGACATGGGTTCACAGATATATGATGAATATTGTTTCAGATACATGGGGCATTTGTTTTGTCTAAAAGGTCAGTTTTTAGGTGGAAAAAACCAAACCAAAGCTAATGTTGCTGATGTGAAAAATGTAATGAAACATGATGCCAGACTTACAGTGAAAGAACTCGCTTATAGTGTTGGTATATCATCGGGGTTAGTTCATTAGATTTTGACTCAGGAGTTAAAACTAACAGGGATGTACAATATGGGTCCCGCACCTCTTGACAGAAGAACAAAAGGTCACCCATGTAAAAAAAAATTAAAAGCGCGGAAAAGTTTTGTATGCCATATATTTCAAGTCTAGTTCAAATTCTAGTTTCAAATGGACGAAAATTACTGGTAGATTTTTTATTTTTATAAAAAAACAATGTGCTGTCAAACGTGAAAAGGTTTTACCCAAAACACAGGCATGCCACCGGACTAATAGGTCTTTGCCTTATGCAGCTGCTCACAAGTGCGCGTTGATTCAAGAGTTTTTGGAAAAGGCAATTGGTAAGTGGTACAACTTCCCCAACCGCCTTATTCACCAGACATAAGTATTTGTATTTTTTTCTTGTTTCCTTTCTCGAAGTAAACTTTACCTGGACGTCGATATGACTCTCAAAATGTGTTACGTTAATGCAATTTTCTAGTGTCTACAAGGTGTGCCCGAAGAGAGTCGTAATTTTCCGTCATCACAGATTGGATTTCGGGACTAGAAGTGGATTTTGAGGCTAGAAAAATGTATTTCTGTAAGAATGGTCAAGGTAAAAGGTATGACTGCGCCACATAACGCGGGTTACAAATGTAAATGAACGGCTCTGTACATATTTATTACATTCAAAGTTTGCTTAGATATATTAATTTTCTGGAATAAAAATCGAATTACTTATCTAGTTCTATATAATTGTTACAAATCTATATGAATATTTTTTTGATATGATCCTAGTTCTAATTCAAAATTTAGGTGTCAATTTTCTCTTCTTTATTTCTAGGACAATCTTTCGCCATTCGGTGATATACTAAAATATCATACATAATAAATACATTGTAAAGCACTACATTTAGAATAGTCGACATACAGTTGCAACATTTTGAAATGTAGTCACTCAAATTTATCAATTAATCATTGATTTTCATTGAAAGTGAAAATTACATCTTAAGTAAATGAACTCTAATGTTTTACCTCTATAAATGAAAAGCTCATTTGGATATGTGAAGAAAAAATACAGTTTCCGAGACGCGTGAAAAATGCCAGTAAATAAAATTTACGACTACATTAAAACTTTGATTAACTTCATTTCTTTGTAAGACTGAAAGTCCCCGTCAAATGAAAAGTGGTATTTAATTCAAATATTTATACTGCTGAGATACTATGAAATGGTTCTGGTAATAGCAAATTACAATTGTTAACAAAATATACTAAAACTGGTTTTCAACAGTAAACGTTATTTTGTCTCCCATTGTATTGTACGAGTTACGCAATATTTTGATAACAAAACTTGTTGCGATGACATGTTTGCGCGAATGAATCTCTTCGATACATTCATCAAATATGCATAAATGAAAACAAACTGTTACAGAGTATTGCCACTTGAACTTTATCATAAAATATTTATTTGTTTCTTTTTCCAAACAAGAGCCTGGATTGTAACTGCTGCTTGATCTATGCTGGTAAGTTAATAACTTTTTATTTTTGCTCATGAAACAAAGACTGAATAGGCGAAAAGATAACAGCCTGGCTGTCTTTGCTTCTTTTTACGATAATAATGAAGATTTATCTAGTAATGGATTTTGAGTGCCGTTAAACAAAGCAAAAAATCTAAGATAAACCACTGTGTATTTTTAATAAACGTCTGTGAATGTTACTCACATACTTAAATATATATACTAGCTTTAATATATCTAAATGAAGAATTCCATATTTTCATTTTTTTAATAAAATTATTTATTACATTATTATTTATGAACATACTCAATAAAATCAATTCTCAACTATTTGTTGTAATTTCATCGCTCACAATGGATCTCCACATTACATAATTTTATAAATCAAGTCTGGAAGGGGATCTTAATCGGCAGCAAATATTTATAACAATTTGAGAAAAAATGAACTTTTTTCGTAAAATCGCTTTCATACATCGAAGTTTATCTTGGAAGTTCTAATGACTATTTTGAAGATGATGTTATTCCAATAAATATGAAAAAGCTCAATAATGAAAAGAAAGAAAATCCAATCAATGAAATCCAGTCAATCATGTTACTTATCGATTTCCAGGTCACTGTTTTATCATTGTGCGATTGTTCCATGACGAAGGCTTCGTTATCTGGATTTTTAATGCCGTCTTTGTCTGTGCGTAGACCCTTCATATTATCTTCCGTTTTAAAATGACCAGCACTTTCGTCTTCTGGAACTATCCTTTCGGTTTTACAGCAACTGACGCATCTTAGAGAGTTGTACAAACGCTGCAACCAGTTTGGAACCATCTCAGTATCGCTTCTTAAATGCATGCGCGCGTTCAAAATCGTAACAAACACAGTAAGTGCGCTTGTTACCAAATCCGCCATTAATTTGTAAGAAATTAAGGGCACTGGTTCCGAGGTTTTGGGAAGTGTATCACTCACTATGGTCATATAGACGGCAATTGCTAGAAGCGTTGTGATAGTGTATCCAATTCTCTCTCCGGACTCGGGAACCAGAATGAAAACCCAAGCGTTCATTAAACTTAACACAACAGTTGGCATTAGCAGATTGACTACAACGTATGCCGCTTTCCTACTAAGGTGTACAGTGAAACTGATTTCCATTTCTTCACCATCTCCTAAAAGTTGTGTTTTCGTTTCGGAACCGTCAACTCTCCACAATCCATTTTCTGAGTAGGCCGAAAAATCTACAGTTTCTTGGCCATGGGTAAGATTTACCTCATATTTCTTATATCCAAGGGAAGCAAATGAGGTTGTGCACTTCTGAATATCAAACGGATAGTATCTTACGTTAACGGAACACGTACTTTGAAATAAATCTGACGGGTACCAATAAACCGTTCCATAGTTAGTAATGCGGAGAACGTCCGTACTTTTCCCAACCGATACTCCTTTCCCAGATGGGCTGGACAAAACTAGTTCTGGGACCCAAATATCGTTATAACTAAGCGTAGTTACCCACAGTCCTCCGTACTGATAAGGATCCCACTGCATCTTGTAGTCGTGCCATACCACACCCATTGCTCCAACAAATGAAAATTTCTTCTGCACCTCGTCAAATTCTTGTATAGATTTTAAATACATCACAATGTTAACTTGAATAGCTTGTGATTGATCATACGTCGGTCTTACATTCTTATTGTAATTTGCCTGTATATTAGCCAGAAGTGATTCTGTGTCATTTATCGTGGCACATCGTACAAACGAGGTTGAACAAAGAAACACATTTATGATGTAAATATAAATTATGCTGTTGAAACGTCCTTTCATTGTTTATAAAATAAAGAAGAAAACGCTACGTGTAAGCAATGTATGTTTGTTCGTTTAATTGAAACAATTTTACGGTATCCCTCAAAACTCGACCAGTTATATATGCGACTACAAATGAAGTAGTAATTGCGGAAAGCAGACGTTAAAAGATAATATCATCAAATTAGTAACACAAACTTTCAAAATTACGAAAAAAGTTTTAAATAGAATGCTAAGTTAAGACCGGATTACCTTTGATCTATCGTGCAATGCTTTTATACACATGTAAACTCCTATCATAATATTTTGAGAGATGTTATAAATGACGTTCACATGTATTATAATATTTGTTCAGATTAAAATTACTTATCTTTGTTACAGAGAATTGCAATAAAAATAAACAAGTTAAGTAGGTTTTTTTTTGACGGACTTTGTTGCAAACATTAAAGTTATTATTAGTAACAGTGTCATAACGTAAAATCGTATGACAATTTTTTCTGGACAAAAAATGTTAAAATGTTTGCATTTTAAATACATTTATAAACATATTTTAACAACACGTGACAACTGGAATTCTAGACAATAAGTAATTTACTGCTGTTATAGACTCGTACAGTAAGTTGTGGATGTTATATTGATGGAATAAACAGTAACGCACATTATCTGCTGACACTGCAAAATTATTGATGAATATACTGCCGGAAGGAACAGTTCAGATGCACGAACTTATATATTTATTTTTATTTTAATATGCCAAACACAAAGATATACGCAACCCTAATGCATTAAATAGTTTTCCAGTTTTAACAATGTACATTAAGTAAGAATTTATTTAACTGTAGATATTTACAAAGTTGATTTGCCGACAGCAAGGAATTGACAAATGTACAAACAGTTAAGTATATTTATTGAAACATGGATATATCGAGATAATGCATGAATCACTTTTATTCCTTAAGGCAGACAATATAGGTTCAAAGATAAACGTACTTTACTTAAAATTGAATTTATATACACAACTGTATTTTATAAACAATAGGTACGAACGGATTTTTTGGTATGTCCCAGGAAACAATACAGCCAATGTACAGTATCTTCAAATATTATTTCATTTAGTCTATTTGTTGCCATGGCAACCAGAATTTTCACATAGGAAGAAAAGAAAAAGACGTGCATAATCTCCATACTGTCATCTATCCATATATCAAGTTTCATAAAAAATATTTTCAGCACTTTTTGCGTTATCGCGGGATCCAGTTTTGTGGACGGATTGAAAGACGGACAGACGGACGGAGGGTAAACCTAAAGTCCCCTCCGGTAAACCGGTAGGTGACGGACAGACGGACGGAGGGTAACCCCAAAGTCCCCTCCGGTAAACCAGTAGGGAACTAAAAACCACATTATGCGAATAAAAAGCAATGATGAACGGCAGATGGATTTTCCCTACAAAAGCTCATCATTTAGTTCTTTGTGATCAAGGGAGGTAAAAAAAGAACAAACAAAAGTTTTTCATATAATATCTTTACCTTTGTCTGTTTCTGTATATAATTCTTGTTACATGATACTTAAAATCATAAAGAGTCATAATTGAAATGAACAAATCAATATAAGACCGACATTCAAACATTTTCACGCTGAAACTGCTGAACAATATAGATGCTTTTCTTGGTTACTTTGCCAATAATTAACATCAATCTAGAAACATGTGATAAGATTCTATAATTTGTTAAAATGATTCAACTTTAAAAATAGCAACCCTTTTTATATATATACAAGTACATATTACTTTGAGATAGAAAAAAAATACAGTTAAAGGGACTCGACTGAGGTTTAAAAGCCTAAAAACATAACATTTGAATTTCTTACATAAATGAGCTATGGCACTTTAAAGAGAAATATATGCAAATATAGTTAAAAAATATATTTTGAAATAAATTGAAAATTGTACTTTTATGCTTTTCTTAGCCTGATTTCAGTGAAAAGCGTTTGAATGCTTTTCATTTTAGGTCATTTTTACAATTTGAATAATTATTATGGAAAAAGTGTGAGCGAATGATCTGAAATTTTGCACAAAGATAAGTGGTCTAAATTTACATCAAATGTACATTTATCTAGAAAAAATCTTTTCAGTCCCATCATGTAAAAAAACCTCAGTGGAGTCCCTTTAAGTACTTCATTACATTTTCAGGTTTTAATTGTCTTTCCATGACATTGGAATAAAGTATTTAGTTAACATATATTATATATAAATTAAAAATAACATGATCTGTAAGAAAAAATATTCTGCTTTTCATATGGATTTTGGTGGGTCAACAAAGAGATATTTCAGAATACACCCATAGACACTTTCAATATGATCTACATAAATAACCGAGGTGTATCGAGTGAAAAAAATACGAGTTTCTTCCCTTATCTTCGTGTAAAATCTATATCGCTTATGCTGGAACAATACAAAATAAGCTCTTTTTAAACCGCTAGTTTGTTGTGATTAAATGTACGATTTTAAAATGTATTATACCAATAGAAAGCTTTGGACCTTAGCTTCATCACAGTATAAAATACAACACATCTTTGGACTTCAAAAGTATTCAAATTAACTGTTAAACCTACCATACGTCAGACCATTTTACATACGATTTATACAGTGAGATATGCAACCCGTTATCTTTACTCGAAATACTACTGCTAAGAAAAGGCGGTCGTCTGCTAGTTCTGAAAGTGTTTATCGGTGTATTATATTTCAAAAAAAAAATCAGTCAAGTTAGAAATGATGCAAAAAAACTAAACCAATGACTAAAATGAAGAAATTTGAACCTGAGGACCTTCACATGAAGGACATGAGATTTTGATAATAAATCAACAACCATCGGAGAACCATGTATATCAAATACATTTCAATTCATCAGGATAGACTAAAACGTCTCTATAATATTAATAGTTACTCACTGAAACATATTAGCTTAAAATCCCTAAGATGTAAGTTCAAAGCAAGATAACTGTATCATTCAAAGTTAGCAGAAAAAATGTTATAACAACAACATTAAAACACAATTAAAATACATGTCACTGTTTCTTTACATGATTTCTGATCACAGACTTTAATTAAAGTCAGTGTTCTGATGAAGACGTATTAAAGCCAAAACTAGTACAATGTGTTGTCGTGATTTTTTACATTACATACATGAACATTATCAATATAACGGAAAAAAGAGACAAACTAGGATAAATTAATCTAAACATTTGAAACAATAACTAAAATTGAATAGTTCAGCATATCACAATTGTTTATTGACTAATGGTTTAGGTGTATGTATACTGTAAACTTGGTGGGTAGACTTTCTGTTAAATGATTTCACAGATGAGGCACCTATAAGTAGGTTGCCATTGGCAATACTGTCCTTATAACACTGTGTGAAATATCTGTTAGCATCAGTTATATCTGGATCATCCAAGTATTCATCTATCTGTAATATAAATAAGCAAACATCAGATTTTTAACAGTTTCTACAGTACTTCATGCCCACAGACAGATTTCATAAATCTTACAAGAGCTGTCCACACACTTGACTATTCTCAGTGCTTCACAGTTAAAATTGGGGCATAACTCGATCAAATGGTAACTCAGAGTTACGGGACCTGAGCGCAGCGTGTTAGATAATCACAGAAAACAAGTGTGTGAAGTTTCGACCAATTTACCTTCATAAGTTTTAGAGATACAAACTTGCATGCAAAAATCTTAATCACATTGTGACGGCCAGCAATGAGGTGAGTACAATAGCTTTCCCTATTTTCCAAAAAGTCATAGTAAAATATAGTCAGATAATTAAAATCAATGAGACTGAGCTCTAATGACTTTCTTTAAATTCCTTATATCACATTTGCTGTCTATAGCAATTTATTCAACAAATTCTGTCACTAGAAAACTTGACAGTAAATCAAAATCTTTGATGGAATTCTAAAAGTTTACAAAGGGGAATAATTCAGCGAAGTTCAAGCTAAAATTATTGGTCTTAGTTACACACAATCATGACTATGTAGATATGTGCAGTTTCAAGCTATCATCAAGGTTTAGGGGTACAACTTGCTCATAATAAAAAAAACCCACAGAAACCTATAAGAGATGTCCAATGACAGTATTATTATTATTCAGTAATAATCGATATACTTACATCTATCCATTTACAATTAGCAATCTCCTGTTGGCACACTTTAATTTCCTGCTCATTGTTGATTGGTCGCATTACACAGATGAAGTAGAAATCACTACATCCATATCTATAGTTCTGTTGGTGGCGGAATGATAAAATACCAACAAAATCTGTTTCTATACCCGTCTCCTCTACCACCTCACGTCTTGCTGTCTCAAATATCTCTTCACCTACACAATACATAATATAAAGGTGGCATCCATAAAGATCATATACAGCAAAAGTCTGTTATATTATGTAAGAAGCGGACATAGTTATTTTTTTATGTCAAATCAGTTGCTACTAGCAGCCAGTTAAGGATCTTGCTCTGCCATACTTGTTTTAACAATGCATATGTTAACATTTTCAGAAAACAGGAAGGTTAGAATAAATACCATCTTGAAAACGAATTCAATTCATACCATAAAATCTGTAGATATACCTAACTAGTTTTAACTGTAAAATTGATAAAGTCATTAACATAGTACCTTTATCAGCATGTCCGCCAGGTAGTTTCCATTTGGCTTGAGCAGTTCCAGGGTGATATTTTTCCTGTATCACCAGTAACTGATTCCTCTCATTTACCACAAACCCTCCAACACCTATAGTGATATAAATTCAAGGCCATTATTTTAACCAGCACAGGTGTCAACCTAGTCTTGTTCCTGGTACGGTTCAAATCTTTCCTAATAGGGTTCAGACCTTAATCCTTGAGTTGAGAGGCAGACAGACCATGCCCAATACGGTCTAAATGATACACAAGAAAAATGTTACAGGAATAAATTAACCCTTACCTTGCTAAATATCTCAAATGGACATGTCCAATTTTCTATTCAGATACATTTCAGGAAAAATTTTAAAGTAAGTATTGATTGAAAATAAAAACTGCAGACTATGATCTGGGATCTTAGAGTTTAAGTCTCAGAATGGTGATTTTCCAGCTTTTTTTTTCAGGCAGATCTCAGGTGCACCTCTGTGTATTATTTCAGACCCGAGTGGTACCAACTACATTCCGTTAGCTAGCTGAATAGCTTCCTCAGATTAAAGAATCCAAAGTCCCTAGTGTGATTCAAACCCACACTGGTGAAGGGCAAGAGGTTTGAAGTAAAAGACTAACCACTCAGCCACAGAATATTTTTGTATGCATGGAAAATTTTCTTTATATTATCAAATTCAATGTAGATTAAAGATGTATTTACATAATTGAATAAATTACCTAGATACTGGTTGGCATATTCTGGTATCATGCTAGGTTCTGTGGTAGGTAACCATTTTGCCATCATAACATAACCAGATTGAGCATGGTGAAAATCTAAACCATACTGAAATAATAACATAATAAATATTACATTGTATCTCCTTTTTTTTGCAGGAATTCAAGCCATTGGTATTTAAGCTAAGGTTATTTCTATCACTGTAAGGTATACTACCTTGAATTAACTAGTACTTGTGTCATATGCAGAAACATATTACATATAGCTGAAATCCAACTTGGGCTCAAATCTACAATTTCTAAATTGAGCAGGAAATATTATAACTACTATGATAACTGAGATAACAGTTGGTCCCAATCAAGCGAGAAAACCTGAGTATAACAACAGCCCTACTGCTAGGTTTCTCTCCTTGTTGCAGGTGACTAAGTTAGCAATCTTTACCACGTAAAGTAAAATTGGCCTTGCTATTTAACAAGACATGTCTGTGGACACACAGCACACTCCTCTTTTCTCAGTGCTGGATAGCAATAATGAAATGGGGAAATAATCACTTTATATAATAAACAAGTACTCCAAGTAAAGTGAATATCTTTGATATTTTTTGAGAAATGCTGGGTTTTTTTTAAATTCATTATGAATACATTATCTACCTTAGCAAATACTGAGCAAATATGAGCATGTTCTATTGAAATCTTTGCCCAGAATCCACGAACCCCGTCTGCTTCCCACTTTGGCATCGCAGCTGAAAGAGAACACACACATTTTATTATTTTTTAAAAATAAAACTAAGGGTACATGACAAATATTTTAGCCTTATACATAACAAAATAATGCTTAATGTATCATTTATTAAAATCTATAAATATCTTTGATTCATTTCTACACGGAATTATGGATTTTCATATAACTACATCAATAAAGACACTCATATTTATGTCAATTTTGCATTTTTTAATATTTATCTCAAGTTAACTCACAATTTATTATAGTTTGATAACTAAGGAAGTATAAGCTTATTGATAAATTTTCCAATTTGTTACTGAAACCAATGAGTGTAAAGGACCTTGCTAAAGGAACTTGCTTAAGGAAAGAACGGCTTGCCCCTGATGGTGTTTGAATCTACTTGGCCGGAAATCCTTTAATTACTTGTCAAATGTATAAACCAATTGGCCACGCCACTGTCTTAACATTTATTAATGATTCCAATGAATTATAGGGAATCTGAAGAAATTTTATTAGGTAGATATTTTGTTATTTACCTGCTAATTTTGTATCATATTCATCAGCAGATTGAAAGCTTTGATCTTTGGTTTTAAGCACCATACCACCATAACTAGAGACAGAAAAAATACATCTAATATATGTGTATTTATGGTACACTAAAAAATCACAAAGATCTTATTCTTTGATAAGATCTTCTAAAAATTCTTCTTGTCATGATTTATTGAATTTCATTTATGCAGCAATATATATATATGTATGTATATTATGTAATTTCAACATAATTATATCGCTGGTGCTACAACCCATGTACAATTGTTTTTTATTACATGCTTTTCGGTGGTTTATAGAAATATATCAGTGATATAAAACTGGTAATTTCACTGTTTGAAACAGTGAAATTACCACTTTGATAATTTCACTGTTTTGAATTTAAGCCCCTTACGTTGTTTCAGTGAAATACCAGCGTGCACAGTACTGGGTACCAACTTAATGACGTGACGTCGTAAATGACGTCACATTGTATTATTATTTGGCGCGCTTTTCATTCAGTATTAGGTTTAATGTCTTTTTAAAACGTTTCTTTGCATGTAATAAAAAGAAAATTTATTTAGTTCAGTGTAAGATCGAAATATATTTCACCTTGTGAACACCAAAAGTTCATATTTCACTCGTGGCTGCGCCACTCGTGAAATATACCTTTTGGTGCTCACTCAGTGAAATATATTCCGATCTTACACTAAACTAAACAAATATCCTCTACACAAACTTTACTATATCATAACATATTTACAATATTATCTACAAAAACAATAGGATGTATACATAGTATTGTTAATACATTTAGTATTTAGCTTGAGTACCTGAAACCTTTCCAAACCATTAAGTAATGTGAACCATTTGATTTATTCATTAAGAATGAGTCCCTGTAATCCCTCACACATTAAATCAGTATAAAACAATTTAATTTAATGATAAACAGTAACTGTTGTCTTTTTATGAGAATCATTTTGAAATCAGAAAAAAAATTCATTGCAGAAAAAATTAGTGATTAAAAAACTCTAAAATTTCTGTCATTCCATCCTGCTCAATTTTGAATGAGGGACTACATGGACTCTTTCTTATTGAAAATAACAATTGATGGACATGACAATCGATGGACAATGTGATGACAACCGATGGACAATGTGATAAAATTTGATGACAATGTGATAACAATGGATGGATAAAGTCTACAAGATGATGGCCTTTTATATACCAGGCAAGCTTATGAATTTCTTAATTATAGTCACACTACTTCAAAGAAAATTATTTTTAAAAATCCCATTTTTGTGAAAATGAAAAGTCCTTCATGCTGTGGTCAGTAGTACTTTTTTATTACTTTGGGGTTGGAGTGGTAAAATCTTCCATAAACATTATTAATACAAGGTAAGCATACAACAATGCATGATGAAAAATTATAACAAGCATTCAGGGATTGAAAATTTCACATGTCCACTCATATTTACAAGTAGAATTTGAGAGAATTTGCAACAGGACAAGTAGAAAACTGTATCTTATAGAATTAAGCAGCTACTTTCATGCCAGATGCATCGCTTTGAAAATATATTTTGATCTTTTGGTATATCAGATACAATGTAAATACATGTATAAATATTTTAAGGTTATAATACTAGCAAGGCTACAGCAAGAAAGCATACAACACTTACAGATCTTTTGTTACCTTAAATCCTTCACTTTCAATTGTACTCATCTGAAATAAATAAATAATAAATGCAATGCTCTACCTCATAAATCTGTTAATATTTAACAAAGTCATGATGAAACTTCTTAATATTTCAAAATTTGACCACGAGGTCAATTTCATATTTAAGTATGGTGAATATTTTACTATATTTTCATTATCAGCTTTTTATTGAATTATAGTTCTTTTCAATAATGTTAGAATAATTGTGCTGATAGTTTCTAATAACACTTACACACTGAAGTGCTGGAGCTGATTTCAATCCTTTATTCTGTGGAAATATACTTATTGGAAATTGAGCCAAGAGGCATTTCAGAGCAAACTGCTAAAATGTGGGGGCAGAAGTATTGATTTAAATTAATATAAATAAATCACTTACTCTGACTGGCTGTCAAGTCCTTCTCTTTCTTTTGTCTCCTGATCTTTTCTTTCTTTAAACCCTCTCTTCAATTCCAGCCTTTTCCTTGCCTTTCCTTTAGCAACCTTTTTACTCTGCTCTGCCTCCCTCTGACTTATAGCATGGAAACTATTTTCCTTGTTATAGAAGATGTCTAACTGATAGGCAAGTTTCTCTCTAGCAAACTTCCTGTTCTCAGACTGTGACCTTGATTCGTGACTCTAAATGACAAATTCACACTTCTATTTCCACCACAACAAAAGAATCATGACAAAGCTATCAAATTTGAACCTAATGTTCCAATCTTTATCTGTTATGTTTGTCTATATTTGTCAACATGAGTTTGAGAGATTTAAATATAAAAATAAAAACAAGAGGGCTACAATGGCCATTGACTGTTTCCCTGAGAACAAATGCAAGAAAAGGTCATTAATGTAGAAGTAGGTCATAGTCATCCAAGGTCAAATCTGGATTCAGGTCATTGGTTCATATCCAAGGTCAAACTAAAGTGTATATGGAGTCCAAAGTTATAGGACTGAAGCTATACCTTTTACAAGGTCACTTGGGAATCAGTGTGTTCATAAATGGCCAAAGTTATATACCACATGAACCTAAGGCCAAAATGTGAGGGCCATGTGTTTCAAATTAAAGGAAAGCCAATTTAAGATAAATTTCAAGATTATCCACACCTAGTCTACATAATGAACAACATCTTCTGAAGTACAATGTACACAGGGCATTAAGATGTTGTAAGTACACAAGTCTACTTAACAATATCCCTGGCTGTCCATTTTTGATAAAAAGAAAAAGATCTATGTAAACCTTATGGAGGTCCACCAGATTAAATATGTCTTTCAAGCTTCTGAGAACAGATTATACAAATCTTTAAAATAAAAAGTAATTTTCGTAAACATGTAAAGGTCTAAGTGACCCCTAGAACCACAGATCTTTGTTTGCTAAACTGGATAGCATTCTCATTTTCTCTGAAGTACATGGCAAAAATCAAACCCACAATGGTGAAGGGCAAGTGATTCAAAACCAAACAGCTATCAGAAAGAAACCCAAATTTATATAGTCTTTTTTGAAAATCCAATGAATAGTTAACAACTTAGCCTATAACATATAATATTTAAAACATACAGATGTGTAAGAAACCTCATCCTGTCGAGTAAAAGAAGAAAAGAAAACCCTTACTTTTACAACAATTCCAGTAGGAAGGTGTTTAATTTGTACACAGTTATTAGTTTTGGCCACAGATTGTCCCCCGGGTCCACTTCCTCGCATAAACTCCTCTTCTAAGTCCTCTTCTCTAAATTCAGGCCACTGGTACTTTTTCTTTGATATGTATCTCTTTAAAATGGATACTTCTTGTTTGCACCTTGAAATGCAATAGAAATAATGTATGACATCTGGAAAATAATGCCTAAATTTAACAAACAAAATGCATATGCTTAAAATGATGAAAAAAATCTGAAACTCAACTATTCCATTTTAATGTCAAGATAAATGTGTAAACTTTTCATTCAATAGTAAAATAACTCTCATGTATTTTAACAATGTAGTTTGATTCATGTAATTCTAATGGAGTTATAGCCCCTTTATTGCTCAAGCAAAAGCTTTATATTTTATCTCAAAGAGTATAGGTCAATAACAGAGGGAAATCAGCTGTTTCAGAAATCATGTGAGATAAGTATTTAGTCATTTGCAGAGGAAATGGTAATTAATGGTTAGTTATCCAGGTAAGCATGTGTTAAAATCAGCGTAAAAAACCAGTTCAAAAAAAGAAACACACAATAAAATGAAAATAAAGACTTTTCTTTGATCCATGGCTATGATTTAATTTTTCAAACCCCATATTCTACAGTGAATGAGTCTTAACAAGGTTTTTCTTTGATTTAACCTACCTGCGAAATGATTCCACACTTGCCAATGATATCTATGAAACAAATTATTGACAATGTTTGATCATCAATGATTAAATCAAAGCTGTTACCTTGAGAGGGATTTGTTCACATAACTTAGTTTTTTTTTAGTTTTTTACCCTAGATGATCAATTCTCTAACTTGACCAGAAATCATAAGGTTCACTTTGGGCAAACTTTATAAAAGATTTGATGAAAAATGAAGTACCTATAATAAAGTTTTCTCTTGATCTGACCTGATGACCTAGTTTTTGATCACAGATGACCCATAATACTATTAAGACAAAAATTAACAGTTTAACATAATAAAGATCCAATGAAAAATGTGACCTCTTGAGTGTAAGATATCTTTTCTTGTAATTGGACGAAATGAACTTTTTCCTACTTAAGATAACTTTGCTAGACAGACAAATTGAGTTAAAGTTTCACTAAGACTTAAGAATATGAATGTTCCAGAGAATAAGACAGGTGTTTTTACCTTGTTAACTAGTTTTTGAAGGATGACCTGATTTTCAATGAGACAAACATTTTGACAAAGTTTGATAAAGCTCTAATCAAACTGTGACAACAAGGGTGAAGAACAACAAATGACCAATCATAATGGCAGGAAGATAGATACACAAGGTCACCTGAGCTAACAGCCACTTACATCTGTCCACAAAAGGTTTTCAAATGAAGATAATATCTACTTTACATGTATGTGGTCAAGTTCAACTGGTATATGTTACAACATGTGTGTATTTTACAAAATATATATTTTACAAAACACAATTCTATTAAGCACCTATCTTATTTGTCTCCAATTTTCCCTGTATGATTAGTAAATAGTAAGATGAAGAGTTACACCTGTACTTACCTTAAAGTTTTCAGACCGAGTCTATTAGAGAAAAGACCAACACCAACAGTTTTCAAGAAGGACATTTATCTTAAATAAATGAAATAATACAGCATTTGTCAAAATAGTTAAATACCTATAATAATAACATAATTTGCAAACAAAGTATTTTTAATTCATTTACAGTAATGAAGTTGTTGATACTATTATAGTTAAAACATTTTGTGAATCCTCACTAAATCAGCATATTTTTGTTTCTTGTTTTGAAATCTATAGAGATTTATCCTTACTCTATTGGAAGAATGAATAGTATTAAGCTATCATTAGATTTATCTATTTTCAAATAAAGAAATCACAAAAGTCATATTTGTAACAGAATAGAAAATAGTGTCATTTAGTTAACCTTTTTCCATTCTCACCAAAATCTCATTCATGTTTCCCCACAAAATTATCTTGTCAATAACAATATTTCAACTTTAGTATTATTTCATTGCCTTTTAAAGCTCATTGCTTTAAATCCACTTGCAATGTTATGCAATGTACAAGTAAAGAAATTGAAATTAGTTAAAAGAAGACACTAACAGCCAGTATCATTGATGAACCAAATTATTCATTGAAGGAAAAGAGGCAAATGTTATCCAGATCAGTCATCACCATAACATAATATCACCTACTAAATTTGTCCAATATATCAGAAGTTACAGGCTTGTTACAGTTTATGTTGTCAAGCCTGACGTCTAATAGTTATTGCTCATAAACGCATAGAAACATAAAAAAATTCAAAATGACAATTGTCTTGCCTTTCAAGCTTTTTTCAAAAGCTTATGTTCTTTGCTTTCAATTTCATGCTCAATCATAAACAAAAAAACCCTCAAACAATGTTACTTATAAATTTAAAATAAAATATAAACATCAATCTGTTTTTGTCTATCGGCCATACTGGCTAAGTAAGGTGCTTTACAGATTGATTCCAAATTTTTGAACAGGAAAATATATTCAAACACGCTGACGGTGCATTGGGAAATTATTTCATTAAATAATATTATGTTACAATTTTATAACCCAGTTACACGCTTGCATTTGAATTAGCCAATCAGATTTCGCGCACTGTATGGCGGCCATTTGTTTATTGGCTGTATAAGGAATTTAATTACATGAGAGGATTTAATCAAGATTTTTTGGGATGTGACAGTTTATTTCGTTTTTAGGTATTTATTTTTTAGTTTTGTTCATATATAGGTCAAAATTAATGTAAACACACGCTGTCTTAATTGTTTTTTCTTTTCCTCCCCCCCTCCCCCCCCCCCATTTTCTGGTGGAACGTGCTGTGGGTTTTTGAGCAATTTCGATATGACGTTGCTTTGCCCAGAAGCAAAAATACATTGTATCACAAAGCGACGTCATATTTATAGGACTACTACTAAATGTAACAAACAATTACTCATTTTCAGGTATAATACAGAGTTTGTTTTTTTTTCATAAAGACATTTTAACACGATAAATGCAGAATGAAAACAGTAACATAGAATTTCAGCAAATTGGGAAAAAACACGAGTTTATAAATCAGGTCTTTATATAGAGTTAACTTATTGTCTAATCCAGGAGATTGCCAAATTAAGGATGAGTGGAAAATGTATGTTTTACATAGTTAGAACTAATATAATGATTTTATCTTTTGTCCATAACTGACAAATTTAAAGTTTAACTTTTTGTTGTAATTTCGCTTTCACTTTCCTGAATACCTTAAATATGTTTTTGAACGTTCTCAATTTTTGTTTGTTTGTTGTTGTTGCCGGTGTCAGTGTAATTTACAAAGTATACTTAGAACGTAACAATAGGTATTATGATGCTAAATTATATCTAATATTTCATAGGTTGAACACCACATATTTCAAGCCTAATGTGTTTTATGTCTTATGCTTATAATATTTTAAGATATGATAAAAGGTACCTAGCTGTCTTCCAAGAAACAAGATTTATGGTTATATATAGACAGGAGATAGATACAGTACAGCTGGTCAACTGGACGCTGTTTGAACATTTTTTCCAAAAAGCCAATTACCCAGTACAGCTACATGTATGCTCTTCTCCAACATAAGACCTAGCTTGTTTACATCTGACTATGTGAACGCTTGTTTTGAGGCCCATGCAGAGGGTATCAAAATTGTCCACACTGCAATACTATGTGTCCGGACAGATATGAATGACTGAAATTTACTTGGATGTATTTAAACATAATATACACCATTCCAGCAGCATATACTGGGATTTAGAGTGTACTGTAGTTTACTCTGCAAATGATTACGTCTAGTGAAGTTATCAGGCAATGCACTCTTGACATTAGAATTATAAATGTCAACATTCTT